AACTGAGCTCCAAGTCACTCCCGACAGCTCCACAATTTCTTCAATGGTCCGTCGTCGATCTTCCTTGATGATTTCACGAATTGTTTCAACATTTTCATGTGTTCGGGCCGTGGAAGGACGACCAGAATGAGATTTGTCATCAACGGACATTTCACCATTTTTGAAACAGGAAAACCACTCAAACACTTGAGTTTTCCCCATAGCATTGTCCTTGTACGCAGTTTTTAACATTTCAAGAGTTTCTGTTCCACTTTTCCAGAGCAAAAAGAATTTCACCGCCACACGCTGTTCACGAAAATCAGCCATTGCAAAAATGACGATCACACAAAACAGTTGTCACTATAAACTCTGCCGAAACTAGTCCTTACCTTCTGAAGCAACGGTAGTCGGCTTATCGACTCAGGAATGTTAGCTCTATGCGCTCATAGCGGCAAAACGCGGTACAACAAAAGCTCTGCCCACAAAAAAATTAGTTCGGTTTCTTTTGGGTACTCCATCGTATATTAGCTAGAGTATCTCAAACTGTAGGTCATAATATACTCTGAGAATTATTTAAAATATGCTTGCATTCATACAGTTTTGGTAAGTCAGATTTAACATCTAGCAAACAGAGCATCTCATTCCAAATCATAGTACCCTTCACTTAATACCTGTTGATGGTGCTATGGTCACTAGACAGTAAGACATATCTTTCAACCAGGTGAAAACCCTTGTTTTGTGATAGTAGGCCGAAGGAAAAAAGTAATAAGATGTAAAGTTGTAACAGTTTAAAGGATCATTCATACAATTTACTGAAAGAGATGTAACTGACATTTAAATCATGGTGGAGGGACACTATGACCAGTAATTAAGGTTATAAAAAATCCTGCAGGTAATCTAAATTCTTCTCTGATGATATTAGTTACTGAAATACAACAAAGAAACAAACTACAATGATATATGAGAATTTTTTTTTTTACTGGGAAAGGCATTTATGTCAACTGTAAGGACAGAGGATAGTTTGGATCAAGCATTAATATTGCTACAGTTTCACATGTCAGAACAGGAAAAAGTATTTAATTTAATTAAAAATATAATTCATTTCATAACAGGATTGTTTTACTTCTTTGACAGCTATAATTTCTAAGCTAATAAAACATATTTTACATCCTGTATAACTGATTACTGCAGAAATTGAGTTTCATAAAACAATTTTGGAAAGTAAAATAATGAAGTAACAATATGGTGCCGTGGATTTTATTAAATGTTATAAGGCATTCTATAATTACAGTATTTTACTAACTACGGCTTCAAATACTTCAGTCCAACGTTTTTCTAACACTATAAAATGATGAAGGGTTTATACAGTCGAAACAAATTTGCTTGTTACGTCCCAAATGTATATCCGAATGTCAACTGGGAAGCACGACAGAGGCATTATACCATTACTGAATCAGCAAATACAATATTCCAGCTTCATACTCTGATGTAAACAAACATGACAGCTGACACACCAAATGCAGTATCACCACACAACGTTAAAATGGGTTACTGCGGTGTATTTTGGCTCATTACACCAACACTACCGTATTTAACAAGCTCACTAATTCCACTTACCTTCCGAAACTGAATCATGTTTGTCATGACTTTTTCCCCCACTAGATGAAACAGACATTCTGAAAATGTTCGATTTGTATTTGAGTCTTTTAATCAACAAACTGGGCTACCGTTTTTATCACAGATTACTTTATTTTTAGTCAGTACATCATACACAAACACACAACATCCACGCTGCTTACACCTTAAATATACACGCACTTTACGTTATCGTCAACAAGGTATTACAAAAGTTAAAAGGGAAACATCTTACACGACTAATCTCAAATATTTCCATACACTTAATATCCACCAATGCAAAAATAGAAAATGTCCGCTCACAAACCTACGAACAGAAATGCAAAGCACCTAGGAACAAGATATAACTTTACAATACAAAATGATCATTGTTTTGTGGTCCGTGGTTAGAAAGATTGCTTTATATTTAATTACGAAAATAATCCACACAATATTATTAGGCATTTCCAACAGGTATTAGCATCGTAACAATTCATACTTAAAACGAAATATCTTTGACTACTTAATACTTTGGACACTATGGATGGCATTGCCATCTATTGTCGAGAGCCTACAACTAAAACAACATAAGCCCAGCTAGTGCCATCTTTATGTGAATATTTTCGTTAATTCTGCTTTCAAACCCACAGCTCAGCATAAAAGTAGCTCTTTTCTATATGTATAAGCTTTTACCCTCTTCTACATTTTCCGTGAAAAGCCTATTAAGAACCGCTGAAAAATATGGCAAAGGGGTTTTTGATAAACTTTATAAATTTATTATTCACTAGACAAATCTGTAATATAACACTGCAAAATGTTTGCTTCAACTTAAGTTACTTCCATAACCCCAGAGGGGACAGGCATAAATACTAGGTTATTTAGTTCATGACAAGGAAGTTCACTACACTAATTTGCATATAGGTATAACAAATACAATCTGCAACTTCTGTAAACAGGTTTTATTAACTAAAATCCCGGACACATACACAAGTGAGATTGCAACCTGTAAAACTGGATACATATTGAAATATAACAAGAGTTGGAAAAGTAATCCCATACATTCTTACAATCCATCTACTTAACTTATGCCATCCTAAATCTTAATGCAAAGAAACTGTTTTCTCTTTCCAAACCCTTGAAACAAATGACATCATAATACTACTGAAATGCTTTAAGAAACTAAGCTTTGACTGAACACTCACTTGCTTCAAGTCATACTAAACTTGAGTAAAGTACTTCACAGTAAATGTAACACAAGAACTTTAAGATGAATAGACTTAAATTCAGTGGGAAAGAAGACCTGAATTCTTCATTACAATTAAAAGCCATTAATAACACATAGCCTTTTGAAATGGATACTTACAACACAACACAAGAAAGTATTATGTGAGGTTTAGTCATATGACTAGTGGTAAAGATAACTGAAAACAATATCAGCAAGAAAAATTACTTGGTGTTGGTCCCTTGCAATTGACAACAGGTGATAATGATAAACATGACATCTCTCAGAAATCAAGTAAACCAAGTCTCTCAAATGGACTGGCACACATATATTTCTCAAATCATTTAAAATTTGCAGGAACGGTAAAAAATTAAACATGGTAGGATTTTTATGCGACCTTATACTGATTGGTTCCATTAACATCAAAGCTAACTGAGAATATAAGATTCTTTACATTCAGCTTGTCATAACTTGGAAACAACAGGATATATCATACAAAAATCTATAATGCAGCTTTTAAAGCTCTTATCAGCTTCTCAGGTTCAGGAAATTTTTCTTTGCGTGGAGGTCCCTTCTCAATTCCACTCCAAATTAAGACATCTGCAACATAAATGATTGGAAATGGTGTACTCCACAATGTATACAAAATTAACAGCAGCATTTTAATACTAAGCCTGCTTAAAAATGGAAGAATTTAATTAAATTAGTCAGTGTCACCCATACTGAGCTTCAATGAAATATGTGGTAAGGTAAAAGGTAAAGTTTCCCTGTGCTTATTCAAACATTATGCCATGAAGATGTATGGTGAAGTGGAGATATTCTTGACTTCAGCACTAGATGGAAGTTACATCATACGAAGGGCGTTCCACATATAATGCCTCCTATTTTTTTGTTAATATGAGGGTGAGTCAAATGAAAACCTTAAATTTGTAATAAAAAATCGAAATTTCGCGCCATTATCCTGTAAGTTGGTAAGCATGCTACAAACAGCATGCAGAATGGCCTGTAGGTTGCAGCAGAGTGCAGATGCACGAACACCGTCACGGCACCAGTATAAGATGGCTGCCCCACTTGAGACTTGCACCAGGGAAGAACAGAGTACTGGTATTCAGTTTTTGTGTAGTGAAGGTGTGAAACCTATAGAAATTTATCGAAGAATGAAGTTTCAGTATGGTGATGCATGTTTGTCACAGCAGCAAGTGTATGAATGGAGTAGGAAGTTTACAAATGGTGTGACTACAGTGCAAGATGCTTCTTGTCTGGGTCAGGCACATCGAGTTGTGACTCCAGAGAACACTGCAGCAGTTAAAGTTATGGTGAGGGGAAACCGCCAAGTGACACTGAATGAAATTGCAGCAAGTTTAAACATTAGTCATAGTTCAGCACACCACATTGTGCACGATGTGCTGCAGTTTCACAAAGTGTCTGCAAGATGGGTGCCACCGCAGCTGACTCCTGAATTGAAAGACCGACATATTGATGACTGTGAAGAACTTCTGCGGCGCTTTGAACAAGAAGGTGATAACTTCCTTGCAAGAATCGTTACTAGGGACGAAACCTGGGTTCACTTCCACCAACCGGAAACGAAGAGTGAGCAAGCAATGGCGCCATTCCTCATCTCCGAAACCGAAGAAGTTTCGAACACAACCATCAGCAGGGAAGGTTATGCTGACTCTCTTTTGGGATGAAAAAGGCATCATCTTGGAGCACTACATGACTAGAGGGACCACTGTCACCAGTGCATCATGCTCAGGTCTCCTACAAAATCATCTTCGGCCTGCAATCAAATCAAAGCGACATGGACTGCTGTCCACAGGGATCCTTTTGCAACATGACAATGCAAGGCCACATATTGCCCGTACAACAGTTGCAATAATCAATGACATGCATTTTGAGTGTCTTCCTCATCCGGCATACTCACCAGACCTTGCCACAAGTGATTTCCATATGTTTGGACCACTCAAAGAAGCAATGGGAGGAAAGACGTTCCGTTCTGATGAAGAGTTACGCCACACGGTGCATGAGTGGTTGCGCGGACTACCAAAATAATTCTTTTCTAAAGGAATTCGTGCACTTTGTAAGCGCTGGAGGACTTGCATTGAGTGTAGGGGAGATTATGTTGAAAAGTGATACAGCTTTGTACCACTTGTGCACAATATATAATACTCAAAAAATATTTAAGGTTTTCATTTGACTCGCCTACGTATGTAATGTCTAAGCTGGATGTTGTTGGTGTTGTAGTAAAGGTTGAAACCTTCCTGCCAATGTACTGTTTGGTTGTCGTGTGACAGATAGCGACAGCAGAGCAGTCTACCAAAATGTTGTCTGACATAGAAGTGCATACGAAACAGAGACGTGTTATTGAATTTCTCACTGCCAAACAAATTGCACCCATTGACATCCAGCGACGCTTGCTAAAGATGTACGGAGACGATACAGTGGATGTCAGCACAGTGAGGCGGTGGGTAGTGTGTTTCAACAGTGGCGAAACTGAAGTGCGCAACAAGCCACACCCTGGGCATCACTGCTCAGCTGCCACTCCTCACAATGAACAGCACCTCGATCAGCAGATAACAACCAGGGAACTATGTGCACGGCTTAATATCAGTTGTAATGCATTGGAAACGATGTTGGGAAAGCTGGATTATCGCAAA